GTCTCCAACAGATGAGAACATGATAAGTATCTACGAAAGGAAGATTTTAAGATCCATTTTTGGAGGAATTCAGGAAAATGGAACGTGGCAAAGAAGATCAAATTTCGAGCTCTATCAATCGTATAAAGAATCTGACATTGTTAACTTCATCAAAATATAACGAATTAAATGGGCAGGTCACGTTGCCAGAATGGACGAAGACCGCACCACTAAAAAAGTCTTAAATGCCCAACCAATGGGCACACAAAGAAAGCACAGGCCAAATCTCAGATGGATGAATGGCCTAGAAAAGGATCTCCTGGTTTTGAGAACTAAGAAATGGAAAACACTAGCAAGAAGAAGACAGGCCTGGATAAGACTTCTTGAGAAGGCCAAGGCCCCACCTGGAAGGAAGGGAAGAGTTGAATACACTAAGTCTTTTAAGGGAACAATTTTAAAACTTACTGTAAAGCGCAAAATATAAATACTTTATGTAAAAACACTGCACGTTGCCCATCCAGTATAGTGGTTATCGACGCTGACTGCTGTGCCGTAGGGTCTGGGTTCGAATACCGTAGAAAGCATGAATGTTTGTAAATATGTTGTCCTTTGCAGCATGGGGGTACTCTGAATAGCCATCGAGCCGCAAATCCTCACCTGAGGTTAGTGGAAGTGGAAGAAAAGTGGGAGACCCCTGACCTCCTCCAGGTATTCTCCCTCAAAATTGGGATGGGTTCGAACCAAAATGTACTGTCACCTGCATGGTGCTCAAGGCTACGGCTAAAGACACGAGTGCATTCTAGCCCCTTCCCTTGATGAATTGGATGCAGTCGAGTTCAGGTGGCAAGAAAAAAAACTTAAACAGTCGAAGCCTCTTTGCATTTGAATACAAAACTAATTTCTAAAACTGAAATATTTCATCCTGATGAATAAATGGAAGTTGTTCATTTCTTTTTTGAACTTTTTAGTAATAAGTATGACTCATTTTAACCATTAATTTCTCCAGTAAATTTATTTTCGAAAAAAAAATTAAGAAATTATATTTTAACCGCTGAAAAGATTAATGAAAATCCTCTAGGAGTTAAAAAAAGTAAAAAAAAATTCTTTACTAAGAATCAACGTAGAAGAGCAATTATTATCTTCTCTGCTTTTTACACTCCTTTTACAAAAGATACTTAATTTTACACTCCAATAAATCTAGTGGTACGAAGTCACAAAAATTGTGCCAACATATTGAAATTTTAATAAGATTTATGCAAATTTTAGTGCGTATAGAACTTTATTTTTCAAAAGAATTCAAATCAAAGTCTTCTAAGAAAAAAAAAAATAAAACTCAAATTAAGATTGGTGAATACGAAGCGCTTTTGAGAATACAGAACGTCAGAAAAATTTACGGCCGCAGCCAGGCCAAACAAAACATGGTGTTTCCAGCAGGTGTCTGACTCATTTTTCCAAACTTTCTCGATCCTCCTAATTTCGTGACACTTTCAAGATTTATTAAGCTTTTGTTAACTTTACAACGTAATGAAGTGCCGGCTGACAAAGGATTGTCTGCAGTAATTTCTCCGTTGCACGATTTACACAAGATAACATCAACACTTTTTTTTATGAGAAATGATTTTAAAGTGAAGAATAATTTCATCTAAACTATCCTTCATCTACCTTAGACACTTTCTGAAAATGCTGTCTGAAGAAATCTTAACCGAAATTTGATGTTGTAAAAATTACTGAAGAATTCTTTTGTAATAATTTAAATTAAGGTACCCAACTACTTGCAACGGCTTCTTTAAAAAAAAATGGAGATATGGAGATTTTTTTTTTGGGGGGGGGGGGTAGATTTATTTAGTACATTTTGAGATCAATATGCTAAAATTAAGAAAAAAAAGAAATTATTATTACTAAAATTGGGTAAAATGGGTAAAAATTTACAACAAATTACGCAAACGGGGCCCACTCTGCACAAAAAGCTCATGAACAAATTCTTAATTTTTCAATTTTGATGTGATGCTTTTCCCTTCATTTTTGAAATGACCTCCAGGATAAGAGATATTTTAATTTTTACAAAAACTAGAGCAATTTATCTTAGTTATATGAAATTGCTTAAAAAAATAGTGATTATATTCACATAAGTGACTGCAAATTTTGTAATAAAATAGTGATTGATAAATCTAAGGGTTAAAACATTTCTATTATTATACAAAACAAACACAAATATTTCAGTTTCAAAGCTTTTAGAGCAATCGTTGACCCCGTTTGAGCATTTTCTAAAAAACACATTTATAAGTCAAATGAATTTTAAAGTTTGGCATCTTGTTCAAAGTTATGGCATCTGCTTTCACTAAAACACTGGTAATTTTTGTTCTAGTGAATGGAAAATAAAAAACCTAGTATTTTTAAAAAGCTAATAGGAAGGCATATAAAATAAAATCATGAAAACATTGTCAATTTTAGAAAAAAATTCACGATTTTAGGTTAATTGGATATCTTAATATCTACTCAAAACTCGAATATTATTTATTTTTAATATCTAATCCATAAATCCGGATACCCTATTTTGAAACAGGTATAAATTTATCTTTTTCTAAAGCATGAAAAATATTATTTTGTAAGATTGA